AATTTCTTCCTTCTGGATTTACAGAAGAGGTTTGTTAACGTTTTGAAGACACTTGATATAAGCATATTAACCATTTGAATGGATTAAAGGACAAGATAGTTTTCTGTAAAAGAAAGGAACCCTGTTGGCTTGTTTAATCAGGATTAACACGGAATATGTTGTTATTTTGGATGGTTCTTTTTGGACTAGCTGACATCTGGCTTAGAAAATACATTATGTATTGGATTTGTTTACAGTTAAGAGTAGAGATTTGGAAAGATGAATTTCATATTTGTTAACTGGTTTGTTGGATTGCCACACTTGGATTAGGAAAGATATTAGGATTTCCTAATATTTAAAAATTGAACTATGATATGAAGAATTTTATATCTGCTAATTAGAAGTGAAGAGCTAATGAAACTGTTTATATTTGTCATGATGAAGGTGGGGAGTCACTTTCTTAGGGATTTTTTTTTCTCTTTCTCTTTTTATCCTTTTATTTATTTTCTTGCACTTTTTATTTTTTCTTTCTATTTTTCTTTTTAGTTGTGTTATCTTTTACTATTGTAATTAAACTTTGAATAAACTTATTATAAAACACATAAAGCACAAATTTTAATTCCCAGCAGAGGATTTGAATCCCATAAAATAACCCCATATTACCTATATTTGGTATGTCCCAATAGGACAAAATTTGTCATGGGATGCTTCACTGCAGTCAATGTAACCAAATATTTCAGTGAAAAGTGACTCTCCCACAAACTTCTTTCATTGCTTGCTGTCTATCCCATTGAGGATACTGAGATGTTCTGCATGTAAAACATATATTCAACAGTTAAGTTTTACATCCTTTTTCAAGGCAAAATGCCTTCTTACAAATGACCATCTTAATGTGGTTGTAGCTGCATGAACATGTATGACTTGGTGGCATTTAAATCCTATTTTCTTTGAACAACCAGTATCACAAGTTTTTCTCAACAGCAGCTTGCCACATAATATTACAATCTTCGTGCCTGTTCTTCAAAAATTTAAATTGAACACTTTTGTACAAACTCCTCCCAATTAAATAAGTTCTCATTCAATCTCCAGGATCTTCTATTCCCGTCTTCCGAATATAACTCCATCCACACAGGACTATGATCTGACAATGTTCTGGGAAAAATTTTCACCTTCCTCACTCTAGGGAGGAAGTCACTAGTAATAAAAAAAAATCAATCCTTGAAAATGACTGGTGTCTATCAGAATAAAAAGTAAAGTCTCTATCACTTGTGTTCCTTTCTCACCAAATATCAATAAGCTCCAGTTCTTCCTTCAAATCAAAGAAAGTCATAGGTAGTTTAGTTTGAATAAAAGTTTTAAAGGAACTTCTTTTGTCTATAGTTGGGTCTAAAACCCCATTCCAGTCACCCATCAAAATTACCGATTTATAATCCAACTGAGTATAAAGAACATTTAAAGGACTTTTTTACTATAAATATGAATAAGGGAACATCAATGTCTATGGTGTGGGACGCTAGTAAAGCATATATGAGGGGAATTTTGATTCAATTGAATAAAGTTTTTTAGGGAAAAAGGGTCACAAAGACGTAGAGAAATAGAAGAAGAGATCAAATCAAAAGAACAAGAGTTGGTTCTTAACCCTACTGATAATAATTTAAAGGTATCTATAAAGATGCTTAAGGAACAATTTAATATGTTGATGGCAGATCAGGTGGCTACCAATCTGTCGTACATGAGACATAATACTTTTTGCAATGCAAATAAGCCTGGGAAGTGGTTGGCTTATCAATTACGAAAGAAACAGAAAGCTAGAATTATAGAGAAAGTAAAATATAAAGGTACTGAGGTTTTTCAGCAAGATTTGATTAGAAAAAGCTTTTTGGACTTTTACACAAAATTATATTCAAGTGATAATATAAGGGGTTTGGATATAGATAAATATTTACAATCAGTACATTTTCCTAGACTTTCAGAGGAACAACAAAATGGGATGAATAGTTTAATTACTGTGGAGGAAATTGGTTTAGCTATTAAGCAGTTAAAGGTTGGAAAGTCTCCTGGAACAGATGGACTGACTTCTAGGTATTATAAGATCTTATCTGAAGAAATGATAGAGCCGTTAAAAGAACTCTTTAATAGTATTTTGTTGGGTATGCAAGTTCCTCCTTCTTGGAAAAGAGCCTTTATATCACTGATTCCGAAGGAAGATCAGGATCTTACAGAGCCTAAGAATTATAGGCCAATTTCATTATTGAATGTTGATTATAAGATTTTTACAAAAATTTTGGCAAATAGATTAATGCAGGTCATGAAAGATTTGATTCATAGTGACCAAGTAGGATTTATAACAGGGAGATATATGAAACATAATGTCAGACAAATTATCAACTTAATTGAGTACTTGGATAAGAATAATCAGATTCCTATGACTTTTATCTTTTTGGATGCTGAAAAAGCTTTTGATCAATTGGACTGGCAATTTTTATTTTCTTTGGTAGAGAAAATGAATTTTGGGGATAATTTTTTACATGCACTTAAAGCTATATATCAGCAGCAATCTGCACAAATTGTTGTAAATGGGGGATTGACTGAGAATTTTAATATTCAAAAAGGGACAAGACAAGGATGTCCATTATCCCCATTGTTATTTGTTTTAACATTGGAAATTTTATTGACTCAGATTCGGGAATCGAAGTTAATTAAGGGTGTAAAGATAAGGAAGAATGAGTATAAATTGTGGGCATTTGCGGATGATTTGGTTTTAATTTTGGAACAGCCGAATCAGGCGATTGATGGTTTATTAGAACTTATAACACAGTATGGGAATGTTTCTGGTTTTAAAGTTAATAATTATAAGACTAAGATATTATCTAAGAATATGTCAGTTAAAGAAAGGGAAAGTTTGATTAAAGCCACAGGTTTTCAGATGGTAAAAAAGGTTAAATACTTGGGAGTATATCTAACTGCTTCAAATGGAAAATTGTATAAGAACAATTACGAACCATTATGGGCAAAAGTCCAAAAGGATTTAAGAGATTGGAAAAAATTGCAATTGTCATTGTTGGGGAGAATTTCAGCTGTAAAAATGAATGTTCTACCAAAGTTTCTTTTTTTGTTTCAGATGATACCTATTCTTAAAAAAGAGGCAAATTTGGAGGAATGGCAAAAGGGTATCAATAATTTTATATGGGCCGGGAAGAAACCAAGGGTTAAATTTAAGATATTACAGGATGCTCGAGAAAGAGGGGGACTTAAGGCACCTAATTTGAAATTATATTATGATGCAGCCGCCCTAACTTGGTTAAGTGATTGGCTTAATTTAACAAATATGGATATTCTTTTTTTGGAAGGTTGGGATTTAATATACGGTTGGCATGCATATTTAATTTTTAATAAGAAAGTTGATCGGACTTTTAAATCACATATTTTGAGGAATGCCTTACTTCGTGTTTGGAAGAAGTATTATTATAGATTAAATTATAAAATACCTATCTGGGGGATTCCCAGACATGCAATTGAGGGAACCTCTAAGGGGACAAATTTTGATAAAATCTCATACAAAGAATTGTTAATTTGTTCTGGTTCGAATTGGCATTTGAAATCCCTAGATGTATTAAGGCAGCAAAATATTCTACAGTCATGGTTTCAATATTTACAAATAATGGACAGATGGACTGTAGACAAGAAAGAGGGAATAAGACTAGAAGACAGACAATTGGTTATTCAGATTAAAAACCAAGGTCCGGCTCATATAAAAAGAATATATAATGTTTTATTAGAGTTAGATTCGGAAACAGAATTGGTTAAAGACTGTATGATTAAATGGGCTCAGAATATACAGGAGCCGATCTCATTGGATTTATGGGAGACAATTTGGATAAGAAATGTTAAATTTACACAAGCTCAAAATTTGAGAGAAAATTTTTATAAAATGTTTTATAGATGGCACTTAGATCCTAAAAAATTATCTTGTATGTATTCCAACATATAGCCCAAATGTTGGAGATGTGGCAATAATGGTGCGACATACTTTCATATTTGGTGGAATTGTAAAAAAGTAAAGACTTTTTGGATTATGATTTGGTGGAACATTCAAAAGATTTTTAGAAAAAAGATAAAGTTTACTCCTCAACTATTTTTACTTGGTATTTTTGTTGACTTAAATGAAAAAGAAACTACTTTGATATTGAATTTATTAACTGTAGCAAGGTTACTAGTAGGTTTATATTGGAAGAAAGATTCTTTGCCTACTTTAGAAGAATGGATATTTAAAGTATCTAGTTTTGCAGAAATGACAAAAATTTCTGCTTATTTAAAGGATCATACACAAGAAAGATATATTACTGTATGGGGAAGGTGGATAGATTATATTCAGAAAAAGTATGGAATTAAAAAGTTTTATTTATTTTATGAATGAATATCAAATATTATAGAGAATTGTTTTATAGGTTATGGAGTTAAAGGTTAATTATGATATTTTTTTTCTTTCTTTTTTTTTCTTTTTTCTTAATTATTATAATTTTCTTTTTTTTTTAACCCTGTATTCTGCTCTGGGAAGTGAAGGGAGGGGTGGGGGTGGGAGGGAGGGTAAGGGGGGTTTTCTCTATTTTAAAATTTTATTGTATTTTTATAAATGATTGTATGTTTTAAAAAATAAAAATTTTCAATTTAAAAAAAAAAACTTAAATTGAAGTACATGGAATTATTAGCATTATAGTGTGCTTATTTATTTTATTATCTTTTAGACAGTCTTATTCCTAGTGTGTTTTAACAGTAACTGCCAAGTTTAACACCTAGTTTAAGTTACATATGGGTTCCAACACCCATGGATGATTACAAGAAAGAAAAGATAGTTAAATGACCACAAAATTAAAAGTCTGTTTCTTTTCCTTATTTAAAACATGTATATAGCTGTCAATTTTTCAGCCAATCAAAGATTTAAAACAAGCATATAAACATATAAAATCATTTTAAAAACAATAAAACATAAAATATTAAAAAGAACAAGTTTCAAATCTTACCTGAAGGGACCAATCCATACAAGTGACAACACGATGCTTAGACCAATGCTCATCATAAAACTGTCGGCTGAAGGAAAGGTTGGCTCCAGCTTGGACATCACTACATGGATTTGAACAAGGATTGTGTCACTACTTAAGATTAGGGCTGACACTTTAAAATAATAAACTGTTTTGTCAATTATTAATTCTGATTGTTTCTCTTTTCTACTAGATTCCCTTAGTTATTTCATTTTTTTATCTTTCTTTACCTGATGCTCTCTCTGTCTGTACTGTCCATAATTTTAACCAAAGGAAAGAAATGGTCTAAGTATAAATATGTTATATCTAAACAATTACGATGAGTGAAAAGGGATGGTTCTATATTTGTCTAAATTCCTTAATTTACTCAAGCTGTAGAAAATCACAAACAATATTGAACTGGGAGGAAAATCTATATAGTTTTCTTTCTTAATTTAACTTTAATTTCCTACATTTCATATAGTCTTCATTGGTCCACATAAAAAATAGTTTCCAGAGTATAGCATAAGTTCAAATTGGCTTAGTTGTGATGCTGGGTTTCACATTATATTAACTAACACATGAACTTCATGTGGAAAACTGCTATAGAGGATGTCACATATATTTGTGCATGCTGTGAGTGTTGCTTATTAATTATTCAATAATATACTGTATTATGATTTGGAACAAATTAACAAGCAAACCAGCTAATAGTATCTATCCCAAAATGGAATTGGATTTTGGACTATGACTCCCAAAATCTTGCAGTCCGCGTTGTAATTGAAACTAGTATTCCCAAACATCTGAAGGACACTTATTTGCTTTCTAGGGGATATTTTGAACAAATGCTGAGTATTTCCATGTAGATTCAGAAGTTCTACATATTATGTAAACCACAGGTCCCCAACCTTTTGGGCACCAGGGACCGGTTTCATGGAGAGAGGTTTTGCCAGGACTGGAGGGAGCATGGTTTCATATACTGCCTGCATCCTGTGGATGAGGCTTTGCTTTTTTGCACAGACTGGTTTCTGGCATGCCATGGCCCGGTGCCAGTCAATGGACCGGGAGTTGGGGATCCCTGTTCTATTCCACCCCCTGCTCAAGCAGAAAATCCTAAACCATTTCAGGTAAATGATTGTCCAATCTCTTTTTTAAAGCCTCCAGTGTTGGAGCACCCACAACTTCTGGAGACAAGCTGTTCCACTGATTAATTGTTCTAACTGTAAGGAAATTTCTCCTTAGTTCTAGGTTGCTCCTTTCCTTGATTAATTTACATCCATTGCTTCTTGTCTTGCCTACAGGTGCCATCTCCAGTCCTTTTTTTTTTCATTAAACTAGACATACCCAATTCCTGCAACCATTCTTCATATGTTTTCGCCATCAATCCCCTAATCATCTTTGTTGCTCTTCTCTGTACTCTGTCCTCAAACTATGGCCTGCAGGCCACATGCACCCTGCCTTGTCTTTTTATCCAGCCTGCTTCAACCTCCCAAGTAAGCTGTCCAATTGTGAGGAGAGGGTGGGTCGATGATGGCGAGAGCCCCAGCCAATGGCAGGATGGCAAGTTGGTGGGAGGAAATTTTTCCCCCAGTTTCTCCCTTGCATGCCCAAATGTGCACTTGTGCTTTGGCCATGCCCCCTTCCTTTCCTCCTCTTGCCTCTTCGCATTTTTATCTCAGAGCTGGGCTGAGAGATTTAGGCCTTGCTTGCAGCCTTGGCCTTGCTTAGGGCAACCAAGCCGGGTGATGATGACTCCACTGCTGCTGTTGCTTCTGAGGAAGGTCCCTCGCTAGGCGCTACAGAACGCAAGCTCCAGCTTCCACCACTGCTGCTATAACTGCCATGCCGGGAAAGAGGAAACTGGTGCCGCCGGCCCTCAACATCATTCCCACCATCGCCGATGGACCCAGCCCCACCAGCGGCAGTGAGGGTGACGGCTCTGAGTGGGATTGACCCCATGAGGGTCAGAGTGGGGCTGCTGGAGTGGGGTGCAGGTTATGGGTCTGAGGGGAGCGGGTGAAGGGCAAGGTATTTGTGAGGGGCAGCTGGGGTGAGAAAAAAAGAGAATTTGCTCCTGGAAGATTATTTCAAGGTTGCGAGGGGTTGTGTGGAGCTGAGGCAATGAAAGGTCTGGAATGCCAATCAAGGAGAATATTTCTGACTCGGGGTTAAAATGAAGGGTCCTTGGGGGGGGGTCTCTGAGGATAGTAGTTTTCTTGCAAATGTTTCAGGACCCAAAGTGGGATAATAAGTGAACTGATGATGTTACCTAGTTTGGGTCATGAGATGTCTGCAAGAAAGCCACCCATCTCAGAGAGCACCAAGGACTTCATAGCCACCCTTTCTTCTCCTATTCTCCTCCTCCATTCCACAAACTCCTTCTCTTCTGGCATTGCTGATGTTACCCTAGTTTGGGTCATGAGACATCTGCAAGAAATGCTGAATGGAAATAGCACCTTGCCTTTCTGACAGATGTAACATAGCTACTCAATAGTTTCAGTGTGCAACTTCAAGGAAAGGGGAAGCTCATCTGTGATATGCATTCACATGTGAAAGCATTTGAAGTAAAATTGGACATACTCATTAAACAAGTGAGGGAGGAAAACTTCTGCCGTCTTCCCACAACTCAAAAACTATTTGCGGAAAAACTAGCAGTTACATTTCCAAACAAAACATGTGTGGATTCACTGGAAATGTATATTTTCTTCACTTAAAAACTCATTCAAATAATTAACCAATTCATTTTTCTTGTTTCATTTTTTCATTTTATACTTGATTTTACATTGTTCTGTAATCATTATTTTTTTTCAAACTATAGTTCAGCCCCCCAACAGTTTGAGGGACAATGAACTGGCCCCCTGTTTAGAAAGTTTGAGGACTCCTGTTCTAGAGTCTCAACATGTTTTTTATGGTGAGGTGACCAAAACTGGATGCAATATGCATTCCAAGTTTGGTCTTACCAAGGCATTATAAAGTGGTATTACCATTTGACGTGATCTTGATTCTATCCCTCTATTAATGCAGCATAAGACTCTGTTAGCCTTTTGGATTCAGCACACATACTTAAGTAATTGTCCATAGGACTCCATGTTCTCTCTCGCAATTACTACTGTTGAGCCAGGAACCATCTATTTTATACTTCTGCATATTTCTCAGATTTTTTTCTTTTCTCAGATCCGTCTCATATGAAGAATCTGAGAAAAGAAAGGTTGACCCATGATTTGCTTTGCATATAGTTTACATCAGGGGTCCCCAACCCCTATCCGTGGACCGGTACCTGGCCACAGCATGCCAGCGACTGGGCCACACAAACAAGCAAAGCTCCATCTGTGGGATGCAGGCAGCACACAAAACTATGCACTTTCTGGTCCATGGAAAAACCTTTCTCCATGGTACCGGTCTCTAGTGCCCAAAAGGTTGGGGACCTCTGGAATAGAAGACCTCCAAGATCCCTTTCCACTCTGTTATTCTGCTTTTCTGTTATGTTTTGAAGTACTGGTTTCAATGACAATAATGACTGGAAGATTTTGGGACTTGTAGTCTAGAACCTAATTCCACTTTGGGAAGATTGTGTTAGTTGATTTGTTTGTTAATTTGTTCTGAATTATAATATTTTGAATAATGAATAAAAAACACTCACAGCATGCAGAAATATATGTAACATTCTGTTTAGCAGTTTTCTATGTGTACACATACATATAAACACACACACACACACACACACACACACACACACACACACACACTTTCTAGAATATAGCCTGTAGAATCATTCAAAGAGCAAAGGGATATTTACTCTAAAAATGTTGTGTGCCTTTTAATTTAAAGTCTAGAAGATATTGTTGATCTAAATCAGTATTTTTCAAACTTAGCAACTTTAATATATGTGGACTTCAACTCTCAGAATTCCCCAACCAGCATCTTAAAGTTGTTATGTCTGAAAAACACCAATCTAGATAAAAGCTGATATATTCATTTCTTCAATATGTCACAATAAGATTATGCAGGATAAAGACAATTGAGAACCTTGAAAGCATCTAGAATTAATGAAGAGGATTAATTCATTCATTAATTAATAAAAGAGTAAATATATTTTATTACATCACTGAACTCAGATTATCGCCATAGATGTATTGAACAATGAGGTGTTGCTCTCTGTAAGTCAGAAATGCCCATTTTATTTACTGATTGGATTTTTTTTAAAAAAGGGGGGGGGGCTTGGGGGAAAGAAAGCACTGACCTATCTTTTTCCTCTATATCCCGGCCACTGTAATCAAAGAAAATGTCCGAATCTTCTGCTAGAGCTCGCTCAATCACACGTATTGTCCGGTCAAAAAATATAAGGAATTCTTCTGAATGTAGAATCTGTTGCTTTTCTTCCTCTGTCAATTCTCTAGGAGGAGCTTCCAAAAGAATATTGGCAGCATTAAACATACAAGCATTTAAATATTTCCAGATGAATCTTACTCTTCAGCAAAGAAATGAGATCTTCCTATGAAACCTATAGTAAAATTGGTAAGACTGGATGGTTTGCTGCTTTTAAAGGAAAAAAAATTGAATTCATTAATATAGCACTACATAATCTTAGAATACGGCTTCTATATCAAAGACATCCTATATCCTGCATATTTATTGTTATGAAGAAGAAAATAGTTAAGATCACAAAATAAAATAAACTTCACATTCAGATTTCAGGAAATATTTTTGATTGATGCTTATGACCCAAGCAAGCTTGGAAAAGCAGTGTAACAGCCTTAACAAAAAAGTAGTCTTAAGTGCTCTTTCAATACAGAAGCCATCTTCAATTTCAGTTTCAAAACCAAACAAATTCTAAAAGGTTCTTAAAATATGAAGTTGAACTTGACTCTTGATGGCTAAATGAATACATCATGTAGTTTTATTGGCAGTAAGATGGAAGTAGTTTGTTGTGCTTTCTTCTGGGATTTTTTTTTTTTTTAATTTTCTGTCTCAGATTTTGTGATCACTTCCTATCCCAGTATAACTCTGTTTTTTCAAGATAAATGATGGTCAGATATGTGCTAAGACTTAGCTAGGTTAAAATATTCTTAACTGATTAAAATGCATACTTTACTCAATTGATCATAAACAGAAGTTACAAAAAGAAAAGTTCTTGGAGACAGTTTTATAACATTGGACCTTTCTAATTACTGGAAACTCATCATGCTCAATTTTTTGAAAGTATTAGAATTCAATTTAAAATACATGGATCAGGTTGATGTATTAGGAAATTTATAAAGGTTTTAGAGAATTAGAGAATACATTTATTGTAGATAATATGTTCCAAAATGTGGTTACCAAGGCATGATGATAAGCTTCAGATTGTAAAACTGAGTGAAGATTGAATATTTATTAGAGAGTGATCCCACTATAATACCAAAGAAGAAACCAAATACTTTCTTATGATGTCCATAAACATTTTCATCCTTCTTCTTTGTTTAATACCCAAATTATATCTAAATGTTCCTTACCACATTATGTTAATTTAGGTCATTCTAAAACAAACAATGCCCTGCTATCTCTTTTTAATTATTTCTATTACGTTTGAAACAAGACTAAGTGAATTCTATCCCATATTCCCCACAGAACATATACAAAAAGCCAGATAATTTTAGGTGTGCAAACAGGTAAGAGGTCATATATTGCATTATAACATCAGCATACCAATTAGCACCAATCAGAAATGTTTTAAATAGATAAAACAGAGAGAGAGAAAGAGAGAGACAGGTATCTTTTACCTAAAAGTGGTATTGTTGATGAGGCTCATATTTCATACTAAGTCATAATGCAATTTCTTAGATTTTGACATAGCACAATGTGCAATTCTAAAACTGTATAGATGTAAACCCGAGCTTTCCAAACTTTCTCACTTCATGGCAGCCTTAATGTCTTAGTATTTTTTTTCACAGAGCCCCAGTTTGTATGTTCTCTGGCAGATATCAAAGTGTCATTGTCTTTCCCTCAAAAATTTAAAATATCCCATGGTGATCATCTAAGTTCACTGTGAGCACAGTTTAGTAACTATGGCTGTAAAGCATATTTCATAGCTTAGCATTAGTAAATCAAGACACTGCACTTTTTCAACAAACTATATTTGAACACAATCAATGTGTGCCATATGACTACAAAAATATAATTTCGGCCTTAGTAATTGGAACATTAATTTTACCATTCTTTGTATTGTTTTTAAACATGAAAAAATGTAAGAGAAGCATAGAACATGATGGATAAAAATCATTTCTGTTTAACATTTTGGCAAAGCAAGTTTTATTTTAATGGCACAATGACTGCAAACAGCAGGTGTCCAGAAATTAAAATTAGCTAATCTTATGTATAAATATGAAAGCATAATTGTTTTAGACAATGAAGACAGGCTTAAGATACAGAAGGATCTTGACAGACTTGAACATTGGGCACTATCTAACAAAATGAAATTCAATGGTGAAAAAAGTAAGGTTCTACATTTAGGCAAGAAAAACCAAATGTACAGGTTCAGTATAGGGGGTACCTTGCTCAATAGTAGTAACTGTGAGAGGGACCTCAGAGTCCTAGTGGACAATCACTTAAATATGAGCCAGCAGTGTGCTGCAGCTGCCAAAAAGACCAACACAGTGCTAGGCTGCATTAACAGAGGGATAGAACCAAGATCACGTGAAGTGTTAATACCACTTTACAATGCCTTGGTAAGGCCACACTTGGAATACTGCATCCAATTTTGGTCAAAAAGATGTAAAAAAGATGTTGAGACTCTAGAAAGAAGAGCAACAAAGATGATTAGGGGCCTGGAGGCTAAAACATATAAGGAACAGCTGCTGGAATTGGGTATGTCTAGTTTAATGAAGAGAAGGACGAGGGGGGACATGATAGCAGTGTTCCAATATCTAGGGGCTGCTACAAAGAAGAGGGAGTCAAGCTATTTTCCAAGGTGCCTGAAGGCAGGACAAGAAGCAACGGATGGAAACTAATCAAGGAGAGAAGCAACCTAGAACTAAGGAGAAAGGGGCGTTGTCTTACCTGAACGCCTTTTCTCAGCATGATGATGGAGAATCCACGGATGGGTTGTCTTAATCTATCTGCTCCAATTAGACTAAGTCTGAAATTTAGTACCGCCCCCTATATGCCAACTGCACCCCAGTTTTAGGCTAAGGTGATACTCAGACTTTAGTCCGACGCGTCTGATCAATATGGGAACCAGGCCAACTGACCTAATGGGAGGGAGTGGATTCTCCATCATCATGCTGAGAAAAGGCGTTCAGGTAAGACAACGCCCCTTTCTCCAGCATGATTGGATGGAGAACCCACGGATGGGACATACCAAAGCCCTGTGTCCCTAGGGTGGGGAATTAGATTGGGCCTGGGTCCCATCCAACGTTAATGTGTGTTCTAGAACCTTGCGGTCAAATGAAGCCATAGAAGAGGCATATATATATTCATCTTGTAGTGACGGACAAGGAAAGAGGGTGATGCCCATGTTGTTGTTCTATAAATTCCCTCTATGGAGGCCTGATTAGACCAGGCAGCTGTAGCAGCTGCGCCCGGGTGGAATGGGCCGTGAAATGCCTAGGAGCTTGCAGTGACTGAGACTGGTATGCCAGAGAAATACAAACTCTAATCCACCTGTGTATTGTGGTTGAAGAAACTTCTGACCTAGTGATGAAGGGTGATAGGACACAAACAGAGCCTCTGTTCTGTGGAAAGATGAGGTTCTCTGTATATAACAATATAAGCCCTGCGCACATCCGATTTGTTCCACTGAACCTCTATGTCATTAGATGGGTTAGGACAGAAGTCCAGCAAAACTATTTCCTGAGATCTATGATACAAGGACTTGACCTTAGGCACGAAGGAGGGGCCTAGCCTAAAGATTACCCTGTCCTTATGGAAAGTACACAGGTCCTTCCTCACTGAAGAGCAGCCAGTTCAGAGATCCTACTGGCTGAAGTTAAAGCAACAAGAAATGCCACCTTCATCGATAACTGTTTGAACAAACCAGTGTCAATAGTTCAAAGGGTGCGAAACAAGAGCCTATAAACCTGATGAAGATCCCACGAGGGGTATCTATGTACAGTTGATGGTCTGACGTTGTTAGCTCCTTTTAGGAAGGAGCGTATCATAGGGTGATGTGTTAAGGATTCATTGCCGCAGGAAATAACTGTGGCAAGTGATGCTACCTGCCTGCGGATGGTGCTTGTGGAAAGCCCTTTGTCTAGACCATCCCTCAGGAACTCCAAGATAACTGGCATTGAAACCGCCAAAAGGTCAATTTTTCGAACTGAACACCAATTACAGGAGCCTCTCCACGTGGCATCGTATATTCTATTCGTCGAGGGTCACCTGGATTGCTGAATCATAGCTATGACCTTCAATGAATATGAGTCTCGGCCTAAGGCCTGCCTCTCAAGTGCCAGACAGTTAACTGGAGCCATTGAGGGTCTGGATGGCGTAGTTCCTCCTGAATGTGGGAGATGCGATTTGCTGGGATCCTCCATGGAGGGGATATGGAGAGCTCCATCAGGTCGGCGACCAAGAGCATCTCGGCCAATGCGGCGCAACCAGGAGGACCTCTGCTCGTTCGCAAAGGATCTTCCTGATTGTGGCAGGAAGAAGCAGCAGAGGAGGGAAGGCATAGAGCACTTCCCTGGGCCAGGGACTGCGGACTGCATCTGTTCCCTCCGCTGATGGAGATGGGAACCTGGAAAGGAACCTGGGAAGTTGTGAGTTGATTGGGGAGGCAAAAAGGTCTAAGGTTGGGGAACCAAACCTGTCCACAATCTCTCTGAACACCTTCGGATCCAGCTGCCATTCGGAATGATCCACGGTTGCTCTGCTCAGTGAGTCCGCCTGTTGGTTGGTCACTCCGGATATGTGCTCCACCCTGATGGAGGCAAGATTCAGTTCCGCCCAGGACCCCAGCAATTTGACCTCCTGCATGAGAGGCCTGGACCTTGTCCCCCCTTGTCTGTTGATGTGGGCCTTGGCTGTAATGTTGTCGGTTAAAATCAGGACATGTTAGCCCTGTACTCTATCGGTGAATCTCTTTAGGGCCATATATATGGCTCTGAGTTCCAGCCAGTTTATATTGTTCTTTAGGTCCTGTTTGGACCACCGACCTTGAGCCCAGTGCATGTGGAGGTGTGCCCCCCACCCAAACAGGCTTGCATCTGTGGTAATGGTAATCCTGTCTGGTTCTAATACTGCTACCCGTGACAGAGCCGGGGAGTCCCACCATTGAAGGGAGTTCAACACCAACGTGGAACTCGGACCTTCTGGTGGGATGTGCTGGTGTGAAGTCTCTGAAATGGAAGGAGAAGCTATGTAATTCTCTGGCATGGAGGCATGCCCATGGCACAATTTGCACGCAGGACACCGTCTTCCCCAGTAGCTG